AATGGATAATTATATCTATAACCAAGAACACACATGAAAAGGATAGAACATTTCATTGTATCTTTTCTGGTAAGCACATCATTGCTGTATGTGGTTAAAGGGACACCATAGTCAATACAACAAAGTTAGCTTATTGAAGCAGTTTTGTTGTATAGATCATGCCCCTGTTTGCTCACTGCTCAATTCTCTGCTATTCATGTGTTAAATCACTTTGTTTATGCAGCCGTAGTCACACCTTCCTGCATGTGACTTGCACAGCCTTCCTAAACACTTCCTGTAAAAAGTCATCTAAAGTTTATACTTCCTTTATTGCAAATTCTGTTTAATTTAGAATTTATTTTCTCCTGCTCTGTTAATAGCTTGCTAGACCATGCAAGAGCCTCCTGTGTGTGATTAAAGTAAAATTTAGAGATCAGGAGATAAAAACTTTAAAAAATAAGTTACTAGCTAAGTGAAACTATTTTTTTTTTATGCCGGCTGTGTGAGTCACAGCCAGGGTAGGTGTGGCTAGGGCTCTATTAACAGAAACAAAAGTGATTCAACTCCTAAATGATAGAGAATTGAGCAGTACAACTTCAGATCTAAAAAATAAAAATGCTTCATTGAGCTGAAGTTGTTTTGGTGGCTATAGTGTTCCTTTTAAGGAACAGATTATGCTGACATCCAACAATTTATCCATGCTGTTTGTTTATAAATCATAAGCTAATGTCAGATTTTATATTTACAGTATATTATATCTGGATCAATATCAATTAGTGCTGCAGTGAAACCAACATTAGGGAAGGTAAGACCACATAATACTAAGGATAAATATAGTGAAAACAGTTAAAGGGAGATCTGTCACCTGTTCAAAGCGTTCAATATTATGTTTACTAATCCCTTTATTTTTCAAATATTTATTTGTAAAATTTAAAAAATATAAAAATTCAGAACTTTTTATCTTGCATTTGGCCACTGTAGCGGAGGGCTAGTATTGCATAGCCTATCTCCACTTTAGATCCCAGTAAGGCTCAGGAACAAGTATAATAAATCCACAGAGTAATAATTCCAGCAGGCAAAAAGTCTCCAACAATATCCCAAACACAATCCCAATGACTGGACGACACACAGCATTAGGAGCAGAACTAAAGATTTATTCACAGCAGCTCCGTATAAAGGATTCTCCCATGCAAGGGAGGGATTTACAGTAATTACAACAGTAACCAATGATACAGAGGTTCCCTCCCCTCTGAGTGACACTTAATCCTGGCACCTTTTCCCCTGTTTCTTGGATGTACCCCAAAACCGTGGGGTACCAGGACCTAAGTGTAATCCCCTGGTATACTCAAAATTCACCCAGATCAGACCAGGGGTTCGGGAGTTATAGACAATAAACGATTTGACCGACCGCACACGAATAGGTAGCTGAAAGGAGTTCCATGTATTATGGCCCTGCGGTCGGTCTTCATTCGGGAGATGAAACAGACAGAAATCCTTGCCATCCATAGATAATACCGGGTTTGCACGAACCCCCTTGTTTGGTATATTGAACTCACCGAACGAGGAGTCGATTAGCCCCTCCGTTCTGGAGCTCTGGAGGTCTCAGCAGTGTTCGCGCAATTGAGTGTCCGATTTGGGTTCCAGACACTTGACGACCAAACACCGCTGAGAGTTCGTGCGTAAGATGGCCGCCGCCACGTGTTCGTCTACCGAATGGTGGCCACCCAGATACAGCAATAAAACCTCAATTAGCTGCGGTTAAAAAGGGAATAAGGGTTTAACTAGGGACACACTTCGTCTCTAAGGTGGTCTATGCATTCGGTAGTTTCCATTCGTATAACTATGAAGGAAACTACCGAACTAACATACGAACTTAGATACAATTTTCAATGTACATTCAGTTAAAACAGGCGAACAGTCTTTTAACATATAATTCTGGAGGACAGTCACAGGCCATCCGCTACAGCCACCTCTATGTTAGCTCCCTGTCAATCATTGTTCTAATCTCTGCCCTTTGCAGTTAGAATAGAGAGTTCATACAAACAGAATAATAGATTTGAAACAATGTTTCTATTTCTTCTCCTCACTAGCAATGTCTGCTATAAAGCTGAAAGAAAACCCATTTTATGGGGGGAAACAAAAACATTTTAGGTGATTTTTTTATGTTTTGTATGATGGTGTAAATTCCCAAAATGTGGCATTTTCCCTTACCACATTCCATTTATTGCCCTGTCTCAGGAGTTCCTTCAGCAATGGCTAAACCGAGATATTGGGTTAAATGATATTTATTGCAGTGGTTATCTTTATTAAATACATATTTATCTTGCACTTAGAGGGAGCATGCCATTTATGCATAGATGCAACAGCCTGAAATAATACAGGTACTTTCTGGCAATTCCAAAACTAACGAAATCTCAACATATAGTAGTTAGTACATACGTAGAATGACGTGTAATCAAGATCAGATATAAACATGGGAATAGATTGTTTAGCCACATTTAACAGCTTTTTGTGGTCACCCTGAAATAAGTATCTAATCGTTCGTGAATGTGCACCGTGTTGCAAAGTGTTTAGAACTAACTTTATCCGTTCAAGTTCCAAATTTGTGTTCGGAAAGAGGAATGCAAACTTAGATTGCGTAGTGCAGAATGTGTGTTCTTTTTTTTTTTTTTTACTTTTGCTTAACTTTTATTAAGAAAGAAAGAAAAATAAATAAGCACATGCAACATTTATATAGAACCGAAGAATTGACCATCCACTAGAGGGAGCCACTGAGCAGTCCCTACTTTTTCGTAGGGACTTTTTCGTATCTCACACATTACTTTACATTTAGTGGGAAAGTATGGGTGGGCTAGCTGTAAGAGTCTTGCTTGGTTATTCAGTTAATGTTGGAAGGAAAAATATCCACATTATAGTTTTCTGGGGGTCTTTGGGATTTTTTTTGTACGTATGTCAGTAATGAGCTCATTGCAGTACAGAAAGTATTAATTACAGAAACATATTAATAGGAGGAATTCAACCATTTCAAGGATTTAATTTGTTTTATTTATTTGGAGGGGTATGCAAAAAAAGATAGCCTATTTTCATTAATTGTACTGTGTGTTAATTCCTAGTTTGAAGTGTAGAGCAGCGCAGGGAATGACTTTTTAGTTAAGGACTAAGAGTGGTTACTGCATACTAGACCAAATAATTTTTTAAAATTTGGAAATAAAAATTACTTTCATTTTCTTACATTTTAGGTGAGATCAAGCCTGGTTCTGAACATCACAAGCTCAATTATTGCATGTATTGCAATTATACTGTTTATATTTGGAGTGGCTATTCAATGGTACAGATCAAGTATTCCTACCTGTTTTTATTATAAATCATCCATTCACTGTGAAGGCAATTTTAACCCTAAGGTAAATAAACTCTCTATTATTGCTCTTAAACCCTTAAGAACGCTGCCAAATGTACAAGTTGTGATCAAAACAAAACGTAAACAAAACGTAAACAAAACGTAAACAAAACCTGGCATTTGCGCTATATGTCTGTCCAACCGTAATTTACCTCTTTCGTATTAAATGCATCCACACTTTTTATATATAATTTTATTCAGGGGAAACAGGGCTTTCATTTAGCGTCAAATATTTAGGTATGGAACATAATTTAATATGAATAAAATATTTAAAAAATGGGATAAAATAAGATTTTTTAAAATTTTCTTAGTTCTACGTGACATTTTAACTGTGAATGTCAAAATACTGTTTGCTTTTACTGCAATAAAATAAACATATTTGTATTCAGTGATGTCTCACGTGTAAAACAGTACCCATAAAACCTGTACATGAGGGGTACTGTTATACTCGGGAGACTTCGCTGAACACAAATATTAGTGTTTCAAAACAGTAACATGTATCACAACAATTATATCGTCAGTGTAAGTGCCATTTGTGTGGGAAAAATGCAAAAAATGTCACTGACGATATCGTCGTTGTAATACATTTTACTGTTTTGAAACACTAATATTTGTGTTCAGCGAAGTCTTCCGAGTAAAATAGTACCCCCCATGTACAGGTTTTATGGTGTCTTGGAAAGTTACGGGGTTAAACTTTCGGCCTCGGTTGTCAGGCAGGTCCTGCAAATTGTAATTAATAAAATTACCTAATTATGTAAAATTATTACATGAATATATACGTAGAATTATTATATATATATACGTATGTGTATATATATATATATATATATATATATGTATAGAATTTTTTTTAATTAATTTTATTTATATATAGGTATATATATAGTGATATATATGTATATACTTATGTATATAGATATATATATTATTTCATTCTACATGTATTTTGATATCAATATATATATATATTAATTTTAAAATACAGTTAGAACAAAATTACACATGTATATTTTTTTTAATTTATTTATTATTTTTTAATTTTATTTTTAACGTATTTACATATTTATTTATTTTTATTATAAATATATATACAATGAAAATGATATATATATATATAATCAATATCATTGTATGTGTATTTTGATATTACTATATATATATAATTATGTATATATTAATATTAAAATACACTTAGACAGTGTATGTGTATTTGTGTATATGTGTGTATATATTCTTAGATCATATATATCTATATAATAATAAATATATAATTGATCTAAGTATATTTTATTTATTTTTACACTGTTTTAATGGTTTTCATTTTTTTTCCAGACAGCAGGGGGAGTACCTGTCATTATAGGCACTCCCCCTGCTGGCAATGCCTTGGACGGCTATGCGTTCCATGTGATCGCGAGGTTCTCGCGATCACATGGCCCACGGGGGGCCAAAGAGGAAGGAGGGGACTCCCTGGGCTCCCAGGTAAGTCCCCATACTGCGATCGCTGGCGACCGGGTAAGTACATAAGATCGCAGGGCATTTTATGCTGCCCTGCGGCGTTTAGAGCCATCAAAATAGGGACGGCATAGAACGCCCTGCGGTCTTAAGGGGTTAAAAGATAGACAGGTAGATCTGCATTTATCATGTGGATGGTGGTTTAAAGGAACACCTCAGACATCGTAATCACTACAGCTCACTGTATCTATTCCAATCATTTAAACTATTTTTACAATTTACTTGGTCTTGTTGAGTGCTAGCTGCCACCTCCACTGCTGCCAGAAACTTAGCTGCTTGCAGGAGCTTCCACACCCAGAGAGACAACAGCAGCAATGGCACGTGGCAGGACCCAGGTAAGCTGTCAAATAGTTCTTCACTACATACTCTAAGAGGGTGTTCAGGGACATAACAGCTACAGCGGACTGTAAAGGTATGGTGCCTGGTGTGTTTCCTTTGGAGAAGTAAAATGGAGCTTTTATTTTACCCATCCATGTGCATTTGGAAGTGGGTTGGAGGAGTAATAAATATGAGCTTCATACAGACCACATGTTTGGCTCCTTCTTAAGTCCCCTGATTCACTGAAATTGGATCAACAGCAAAAACATTTGTGAGGAAGGCTAAACTTGATGGACGCAGGTCTCTTTTCAGCTATGTAACTATGTGAAGCATCACTGGGTGTAGAAGCATAGCAAAGGTGGCACAACTGGTCAAGTAATTTCTCTTATTCTATCACTTTCAGTTGTTTGTTTGTTTTTTGGGACCCTCATGGCACCATAACTATATCAAAATTAAGTTGTTATGGGGCACATAGGTCGATGGTACTGGCTTACCTTTACAGGTTATAACGTTCTTGAATGTTCCAACCCCAAAGTCTCTTCCCCAGTGTTACTTTGCTCAGCTTTCGAAAAATCTTCAAAACAGAAGTCTCTGTCTGCTATGTGGAAGGGCACCGCTAATTGGCTTAGGGCCATCAGCTGATGATCATGTTCTAAGCCAATCAGTTGCTCACAATTTCTAAAAATTGTATGTTTCACACTTTATTTAGCATTTAGCTTTTTGTGCCTCCCAAGTCCTTCCCTCAGCCCATCCTACAGGACATCCATCCCCCTGCAGTGAGGGGAAGTAACATAAAAAAATGAGGTTTGTTGCTTTGGGGGCTAGGCTGAGGGGGGCATGCCAACAAAGGTTACTTAAACCAAAAACTGTTTTATTCAAACTATATTTTTTGTTTTTGTTTTAGTAATCCTTCAAAGGAACACTATAATGTCAAGAATACACATATGTATTCCTGACACTATAGTCCTGGTATGGCTGTTTTGGTCCCCAGCCCCAGAGTTTACTCGCCTTTTTCTCAACTTGATGGTCTCAGCCAGTCCAATGCTTGGCAGGCTATTGCGCTGGCGCTGCAAAACACTGTGCTGGGCCAAGCAGCATGTACTCATAGTGACGCATTGAATCAATGCATCTCTATTGGGAATGTTCAGCCACTAAATGCAGTGACTGCCACTTGAGGTGTTCATAGGCAGCTATGTAAACACTGCCTTTTCTCTGAAGGAACAAGGACATGCTATAGACACCAGAACAACTACATTAAACTGTAGTGGTTCCGGTGACTATAGTGTCCCTTTAATGTTGTTTAGTATAAAATGAAAGCCCTATCCATCCTTTATAAACAAGATAGAGCAGGTACAGGTACACTTAAAGTAAAAGTGTTAAATAAAGGTGGAACAAATCAAAAGTGCTTAAAAGCCTTGTTCATCAAAACACAGAGTCTCAGAAAAGCAATGGTTAAAGTGTGCAAAATATATGCTCTTTTTGTCTCTGTCTATTAAAATGTATTTACAGGGTGAGGCAAGATTGGAGTCATTTTTGATTTCTAAATCTTTTTTCTCATTGCAGCCTGTTGTCAAGGGAATGCTGGCATTGCTTTTCATAATGACAGTATCACAGTTTTGTATCACAATATCCACATCTGTTTTTGGATGTAAAACTGTGTGCCGGACATCATATAATGAAACGGTAAGTTAAATGTATAAAGATATGCTGAAACAAATTATTCAGGAGAAAGAAAACAAACATTTATTTTCTCTTTTTGTAAGTCTTACAAATATGCGTACTAGCATGTGATTTTACACAAATATATGTAAAGCCGAAGTGAACCATGTTAACTAGTGGTAAAAGTTACTAGGTACTCATTAAAGTCTACTGCAGTGTTACTAGGATGACTAACGCAGCAGTGGTAAATTAAAGAAAATGACCTCCGCTGCCCTTAAACATTTCTGTGATTTCGCCAACTAACGATGCCTTGAACATGTGCATGTATGCTCAGGAATATAAACTAAAGAATTTTAAAATAATAAAAGTACAACTAGTAGCTACGTTTTAGTGATTAAATGACAAAGAGTGATTAATTTGCAAAATATATGTATTATAAATATCTGAATTGTAGAATTATTTAACTATTTTAGTTCGTATTTTGCAATTCAGTTTCAAAATTACTTTTCTATTAACCCCTAATTTTCTGCCCTTGCATCTCTAAATATAACACTGAATTTAAAATGTATTTACAGAGTGGGGAAAGATTGGAGTTATTTTAAAATAAGAATGCATTTCCAACAACAAATACGAAATAAATCATTAAAGGAACACTTCATGCACAATAATAATAACTATGGTGATATAAGTGAATTGGTGCACTCCTGTAGTAAGTAGTCAGATTGTTTAAGACTTATTTTACAAGTTTCCTGGGTCATCATCGAGCACCTGACGCCACTTCTCCTGCTGCTGGAAGCTTCTGCCCGTGACCTAAGCTCAACCATGCAAGGCCACACTCATTGGCTGACAGCACTGAGCTGATGCATTCAGCTAATGAGGGGCCACGCTGATTGGCTGACAGCACTGAGATGATGCATTCAGCTAACGAGGGGCCACACATATTGGCTGATAGCACTGAGCTGATGCATTCAGATAATGAGGGTCACACTCATTGGCTGACAGCGTTAAGCGTATGAGCATGGCTGTGCAAAAAAGCATGGCTGTGCAAAAAAGAGCTTAGCTCAAAGGAGCTAAGAGCACCTGAGAGGCTGTGATGGGCACCCATTAAAGTCCTGGGTAAGTTGTCAAACTGCTCTTATACTGATTGACTACATACTCTGGTAGGGTACCATAATCAGTACAGCAGGCCATAGTGGTAATGGTGGTTGAAGTTTTCCTTTTAAAGGGAGGTCATTTAAATGTGTATTTGTAGTATTTGTCAAACAGAATTAAAGTGATAGTGTCAACATTTTTTTCTAATTAAATTTGTGGTCTTGATTAAGGTTGTAATGTCATTCTTTTGGTCCCTGAAACATTCGTTTAGTAGTCTGTCTTTAACAGGTCTTGTGCCATTACAGATAGACCAGATTTGTTCACTAATCAGTAAGTCAAAAATCAAATTGCAAAACTCTAGCTAAAATATCCAAGCCATGACTATAGCTGAGATAAATATGCCTTTATTTATATCTTTATTTTAAATACACTTTGAATGCCTAATAATTCACACTTAATAAACTTGTTACTGTTACCTACCTGGTACCTTGAACCCTTGCAAGGTACAAAGAGGCTAGGAGCTTCTTTAAAATTCAGAGGTTAGTGTGCTTTAGCCCTTCCATCAAGGTACAAGTGGGGTTAGTCTACAGCTATAGCATAGCACAGTGATTCTCAAAACTAATCTAGATCAGTGATATACTAATCTGGGGGCAAGGGGCAATCTGCTCTGTATGACTAATGGGAGGGAGGACACAGAGATTGGTTGCGACGTAGACTTGCGGACATCAGTGTAGAGAGTCTTCTTTATCCTCTACCTAATCTAAGAAAGTTGGAGGTGGTAGAGATATGATGCTAACAGCACGAACAAGCAACCTCTATCAAACCAGATAGATGATGAAGAAATTCCTCTACTACAGTCTGCAAGGCCACTCTACAGTACTGTAAAGGGTGAGTAAGATATATAGAAAATATGAGAATAAGAAACACAAAGGAGATAATAAACAGAAAAGCAGAATAGGAATAAGGGGGTGAGGTACACAAAAGGGGAATAAAAGGGACAAAGGGGGGATAGGAGATACAGAAGAGTAATAGGGGTAAGAGATCAAAGGTGCAGGAGGGTAAAGAGATACACATGGGTGGAGAGATGTGTGCTGAGTAACACAAAAACTTACAGTTCGGAGGTGGTACCAAAACACAAAGTGTCAGCTGAAACTGACATTGATAAAGCTGAATTTAAAAATTTCACATTATCAATGCAGCCAACAATGAGGAGGTCTCTGTGTGCCAGGGAGAAGCCTGGATATTTGTAAAAAAAAAAAAAAAAATGCTCCCATGTAATTTGACAATGAACCACCAAATTGTTGCCTACATATCCATTGCATTGAGATACAGTGATTATGCTGTTTAGAAAGTCCCTTTAAATATGAATTATTTCAGTAGATTCAAAATGTTAATATATTTACATAAATCATTCTGGCAGAATGTTGAAAATGTTAGTTGATTTTATATAATTATTAATTGCTTTAGAATATTCAAAATGTTAATGCTTTTAAATAATAAATTATATACTATGTTGTACTAACACAGAATTTCATTTATATTTTATTTTAGACAGTAATAATTTATCAAGCCTCCTCGGTGATAAACTCTGGAAATAACATGACTGCTGATCCTACTACCATAACCACAGATGAATAATGTATTGATATTAAAGAATATCTTCTAGGGAAGATATGACATTACCTTTTCATCACTACTTTTCAGATGCCTAAGTAGTTTTGAGAAATTTTCTATTTGTTTTTTTGCAGACTAGCAGCTCCTCTGCTGCCAGTCTGCAGTTTCCACTTCAGCTTAGACCATTTTCTATTTTTGAACTAATCAAAGCAAACTAATGCTTCTCCATGAGAATCATTATTATAGCACTATCGAAGGTAGTATATTACTGCTCTACAGCTGTGCAACTCATATAGCCCCGTACACAAACACCTTCTGCAAACTAGATTACTTCCTGAGATGCGAGGCCTCATTTTGATTCTTCATAAAAGCAACTTTTTCATTAACATCAAACAAAATATTAGTTTTCTTTTCTTGACATAGGTATCTTTGGTGCTTGTTATATAACTGGACTATATCACTCCCTCTAGAATGTAAGCTTATTGAGCACGGCCCTCCACCTCTCTGTTCCTCTACGTCCAGTTGTTTGGTTATAATTACATGTCTGTTAGTCCACCCATTGTACAGCACTACGGAATCTGATGGCGCTATATAAATAATAATAATATACATTGCACTACTACCATGCTGCAAAGGGTTAAAGGAACACTATAGTTTTAGGAGTAGAAAACTGTATTTTTAACACTATAGTGTCCTTCTGCTGCTGTCCCCTTACCCCACTGGCAAAAAGGGTTTAAAAACATGATTACCTGGTCGGGCTGCTCCACTACCCATGTCATGCCGATCATGCAGTGCCTTAGGTTTTCCCATAGGAAATCAATGCTTTTCAATGGGTTTTTTCAAGAGGCTGGACGTAATCATACAAGGAGTGACATCCAGCGTTGTTTCATGGAGTTAAACTGCAGGAAGCGTCACTAATGACTGTCTGGAAGACAGCCACTAGAGGCAGTCTTAACCATGCAATATAAACATTGCATTTTCTCTAAATATGCAGGGTTTTTACATTGCAGGGTTAAGAGGACAGTGACAATGAATCCAGGCCACTTCCATAAGATGAAGTGGTCTGTGTACCAATAGTGTCCCTTTAATACACAGTAATTATGGTAGGGCAAACTACAAACAAGATTAAACAAGTTAACGCTGTCAGGCTCTGCATTTTAAAGTTTAGTCTTTAATAACTGTCCCTTCAATATGGGGGGAAAAGAGAACTACATTAGGGTCATATCACAATCACAGAATTCTCCTCCTCCATGGCCCTAAACTAGACTACAGAATGCAACCTAGAGTATGTAATACAGAGAGCAGGCACAATGCATGGGCGTCCGCAGGAGTTTTTCCAGGGGTGGGGGATAATTGTAATGACATCCATGCTTGGTACCTTTTTGACAGTGTAATGAAAGGGAAGGGGCATTGCCATTATCACATAAAGCCAGGGTGAATAGCGTTTTCACAACTATGGTGTCACTATAGTGTTCCTTTAAGCAAATTAAAGGACCATTCTGGTCACCATAACAACTTCACCTAAATGAAAATGCCATGATGCCAGGAAGCCCCTGGGTGCTTGCTTTCCTTTAAGGGATTAAATCGCTCACAAATGGTTTAACCCCAAAGGCTTCCTCCAGCTCCAGGTTGCTCAGTGGTATTTGGCTTCTGAAACAGGGTGTCAGGAAGTGCAGATTGACGTCAGGCATGGGTGCAGCTGGTTGGCTAGAGTGGACAGTTGACGCTCTAAGCCAATCGCTACTTCCCGGTTCATAAAATATTTTTAATTTTTTATGAATGGGGAGCTACTAATTGGCTTAGAGTGCCATCTGACCGCTCTAGACAATCAGCAACACCCCTACCCAATGGCACTCTGTGCTTCCTGACACTCAGTAAATAAAAGTGAACACATTAATACTGATATTTTTTTACCTTTGGAGATGAGAAGGTCCAGCGTTTCCCTGCCTGGCCCAGGTACCAAAGCCTTATGATGTGGTGTTCAGAATAAAGTGGAGGGTTCACTTCATTTGTCCTTCCTACTCCAATCTCCTTTTCCTCTCCTTCATTTGACAGTCTTTTTTTTTCTTCTGACACTGTTTTCTATCCTTGGCCCCTTCTGCTTTTTTACCTTTCTGCTCTTTCTCCTACTTTACCTCTGTGCTCCTTCTGATTCTTTCTGCTCCTTGCTGCCCCTTTCTGCCCCTTGCAGGCCCTTCCTGCTCCTTGCTGCCCCTTGCAGGCCCTTCCTGCTCATTCTCCTACTTTACCTTTGTGCTCCTTCTGCCCCTTCCAGCTCATTTCTGACCCTTTCTGCTCCTTCTACTTTACCTTTGTGCTGCTTTACCTTCCAGCTCCTTGCTGACCCTTCCTGTTCATTTCTGTTCCTTTGTGCTCCTTCTCCTACTTTACCTTTTGTGCTCCTTGCTGTCCCTTCCACAGCTCCTTGCTGCCCCTTTCTGCTCCTTGATGTCCCTTCCTGCTCATTTCTGTTCCTTCTCCTTTTCTTACCTTACCTTCCTGCTCCTTGCTGACTCTTCATGTATGCTGTCTCCCCCATACCTCACTTCTATAGGCGTGCGCACGGGGTGTGTCGGGTGTGCCCTGGCACACCCTAATCACTGCGGCACGCCAATGGATTGAGACTGGCAGGGGAGACCTCTAGATCTCCCTGGTCGGCTCATGCAGAGCCGACGCTATCCGAGCGGCGGCTCTGGTCTAAGCCTCCATGGGCCGGTGGGGAGATCAAAGTTCTACCTCACCGGTCCACAGCAGCATGGAGGGAGGCAGCAGACAACCCGGGCTAGAGTTCACTCTCCACTAAACCACCAGGGAAGGCAGCAGGACTGGGATATTAACTAGTCTGCCCCCACCTCCACCCAAACATACAGCACACACACATACAGCACACACAGCCCACACAGCCCACAAACAGCACACACACATCACCCTCGCACACACAGCACCCACACACATACAACACCCACACACACATCCAGCACACTAACAGCATCCTCACAAACAGACAAAACCCACACACAACACCCGCACAGCACCCACACACAAACAGCACACTCTCATACAAACAGCACCCTGACAAACACACAACACCCACACACACATCCAGCACACTAACAGCATCCTCACAAACACACAAAACCCACACACAACACCCGAACAAACATGCACACACAAACACCCTCTCACACACACACACAGCACACTACCAGTTCCCTCACAAACAGCACCCTCACACACAGCACACTAACAGCACCCTCACACACACACACAGCAGTGTGTGTATACATATATATATATATATATAACAGATATAGAGATTATATATATATAAATATATATATACATACATATACACACACACACACACATACATATACACATGGCGTGTGTTTGTGCTTTAGGGTGCACACCCTAATGCAATAGGCTGCGCACGCCTATGCTCACTTCCCTAATCTATAGGCTGCCCCCCCATGCCTCACTCCCCTAATCTATAGGCTGCTGTCCCCTCCCAAAATCTATAGGCTGCTGCCCCCTCCCCCAAAAAATCTATAGGCTGCACCCCCAAAATCTATAGGCTGCACCTTTACCCCCAAAATCTATAGGCTGCCCCCCCAAATCTATAGGCTGCCCCCAAATCTATAGGCTGCTGGCTGCCCAAATCTATAGGCTGTCCCCAAAATCTATAGGCTGCTGCCCCAAAATCTATAGGCTATCTCAAACCCTCCCCCCATACCTCACTTACCTAATCTGTAGGCTGTCTCTGGCTGCATGTGTTGTTCCCCTGCGGTTTCAATCAACAGAGAGAAGCAGGGATAAGATGCAGCTTCCTATCCCTACTGGCCGGCGCCGGTATTGCAGTTCATTTTAAATTTCACACAAAGAATATCAGAACAAGCTGAAAAATCCAGGGGGGGGCAAGTGCTAAGCAGGAGTCTGTTGCGGCTTCTGACTTCTGCAGCTCTGCAGACTCTGGAAGCACATCACTGGACCAACAGGGAGCATACCGTTGCTAAACAGTTTACCCCTTTACTGAGGAACCAGGCCACGGTAATTTAGGCATCATTTCCATTACAGCAGGATGTAATGATGATTGGTAATGCTTGGAGCAATCCTTTAAGTGAGCTACACACTTTTGGATACTTTCTTGATTCTGTTTTTTGTGACTTTGAAATATTAATTAAGCTTACGTGTAATATTGTGATACAGACTGCTGTTTATACTTTGTATTTCAAATGATCACTTTCAATATAGTTCTATTTTATAATAAAGAACATTTTACATTTACAAATCTTAATCGATTAAATTAATATGTGATGGAATGTGATTATTTTATATGCTCTTTGATTTTTAACATGTTTGTGAATAAGCGTCTAGACTAGCAAGCCAAGTTCTGTTCAATGTATAGAGGGTGTTGGTTGTTTAAAAGTTTGAACTTTATACATTCTTTCCTCCCCCCTACCCACGTCACCCCCTTACTGCTGATCTGCCTAGTAACAGCAGTAAAAGTCCAAACTAATCACCCCCCTTGTTCTACCTTCTCTATACGTTAAGACCACGTGTAACTATCTGATTAGATAAAGAATAAAAGCACGCCCTGTTAAAAAAACAAAACAAAAAAAACTATATATTTGGGATATGCAATAAACATTTTTGGATAACTTTGAACAACTTGTGTCTGTGTCAGTTCATGGTAGTCTCCCCAGCGCTGGAAAGGAATTGCAGGACAAACCAGAGATTGCTAAATTACAAAGAAGTCCATGGCAAAGAATTGGTCAATTATTTAAAGAGATCTTCATTTTGTTTATACGTAGAGCTGTTTATCCAGTCTGTTAAAGATTATCACTTTCACTGCGCTTCTGTTAACTATTGTTATATACCTCTCTCAATAAAGAGCATTTGTGCACTTGGAAATGTTGATCATATTTATTAGTATGATAATCAACACTTGACTGTGGTTTGTGTTTGCCACATATGTACCAGATTCGGGACTGGTGAAGAAAACAACAAATCTCTTGGCAACTCACTACAAGATAAGTAAGCAATGCACAGTTTATATTTCTAAAAAGGTTTATTCAAAAAGGTGAGCTGGGAATTCAAAATAAATACAATTATAATATTTTTTATTTTGTGCAGTGACACAGTCACAGACATTTCCAGAGTATTAAACAGGGGTATCACATATATAGTATGCTGCACATTTTCAAGTTATAATGAGATGGAAATGCAAAGAGCACATTGTAAGGATCGTTTACCTATATTAACAGAAACGTGTGGTGGTTAAAATTCAAACATACATAACTGCACACCTTAACATAGCTTAACACTGCTAATGTCTGAAAATGCCACTGGATGTTTGGAGATAGGCCTCGCTTGCTTAATGAGATTGGGTATAAAAGTAAAAAAACTGGTGGCGGAGCCAAGCCAACAAGCTGACAAATCGTGCCTCACTTGAGCTCCTGCTGTAGGGGCCACACACTCGACGACTACTCGGGCTAGTGCTGGAAACCCACGTAATGCAACTACATGGATGGGGAAAGCCTGTAGGTACCCGTGGATACCAAAATCTATGCCCGGAACAGCTGCTGCACTTAGAGGCCTAAAGGAGGCAGTGGATGGGAAGGACGGCTGCTTTCCCCATACTGCTGCTAACCATAAGTGAGCAAACCACACTCCCTCCCCCCTATGAACCGGTGGGGGTTATCCCGTTCTCCACTGGGGCAACAGCAACCGCAGGCTCAGTGCACCATCAGGGAGCTCTGTGTAGCCGCACCAAAATCACGCGCCACAATCAAAATGGCAGATGCATCAGGGAAACAGCCTGAGACAAACTGGGAAGCCAGGTTTCTGGCTGGCTTTGATAGATTCCACGTTCATAGATTCCACGTTCATTTTCAGCCATATTCAGGTTGTATTGTTCCCAACCACCCTCTATTTGTATATATCACCTTTGGGTTTTTATATATACATCCTTGTGTTTATTTTTTACTTTTATCCTCTGTTTGGTGTCCTTGTGGTGGGTTTCGGATGTTCGAGCGTTCGATGTGTATGCCTTTGTGTTTTCTCCAGAAGGGGTTTACTTTCACATTTGCCGTCGTACTAAAATCAGACTTGGAGGCTACCACAATGTTGCAGTCCCTCACTTAAGGTCAACTCCTCATCTTGTATGTTCGGACTGATGGACCGGTTTCAATCACTACTCTAGATAGATGGGTTCATTGGCTCCAATCTCTATCAGGGATAGATCCGTGTTTTGCCTCGCACCCTGATATCTGACGTGCGGCGGATTGGACACCCGAATCTAAGTTTCTGACTTTTTTTATTTCCGTCCCACATCGAACCCTGCTTGTTCTCTCCTGTCTTAACTGAAACTGCAAAAAAATGAAGCCTACTGTCATGTTGTATAATTGAAGATTATTTTAGCTTTAGTGTACTAATAAATGACAGGAGATGAATATCCCCCCCCCCCCTCCTTTTTGTCCTTTATTATCTATTCTCTACCCTCCTTTACTTTCATTACAGTGCATACATTCAATGTTACTTATGTGTGTATAACTTCACAATGTTTCTTTAGATGTCTTTTTCATCGGCTATAGATTGGTATTACCTTTATGTCTTCTGTATATATTCATGTAGTTAGTTAGATTAGTTGGGGGTTTGTGTTACCTGCTTGATCATATGGTTAAATCATGTCTAGTACAGCACAGTCAGGTTGCATGCTTCATGAAATTTCTTCTGTTCGACTAAATCTTGTTATACTCTATTTCAGCTTGAATTTAATTTAGAATAGACCATCGACTGTTCCTGTTTCTGTGACCTTTCTTCTTCTATTCGTTTCTTGGATTTTTTCCATTTCGTTGTCTCTTTCGTGTAATTGGATTCATAAATTTGTGATGTCACTATTTTCAGAGGAAGTTCTACTGTTATACACGACTCTTATGGACACTGCTTGTTTCTGATTGGTTCTCAGTTTTTCTTATGATTTTCTTTGTTGCTATGTAGTGAGCAAAGAAAGATTACGCAAAATATGAAGCCTCCTGTCATGTTGTAAAATTGCCAGTCGTCTGCAAAGCTGATGATGTTTTATAACAACCCTGCTGATTATTGCTAATAACAATCTTCTTCCCAATGAATTCATGAATATTATCCCTTAATAAAAGTTAAATACAGCCACAGAATTTAAGCTCACAGGTCTATAATTTCCAGCCAAAGATTTGGATCTGCCTTCCTCCAATCCTCTGTTCAATTCCTGAAAAAAAAAAATCTTGAAAAATGTAAAACAGAGGTTCACTTATTCTTACACTTAGCTCCTAAGTATTTGTGGGGGGAATACCGCCAGGACCCGGAGCTTAGTTTACATCGACTTTCTTTAGTTGCTGCAGCACCTTGACCTTGACTCCTGTCATTATTAAAATTAAGATTATTAGTATACTAAAGCTAATATAACATAATCTTCAGTTGCTAATTGCTACAGGGCATCACAAAGCCTTTAAGGATGTGTCCCATTATATATATATATATATACAAAAGCAGAGAAAGAGTCCAAAGTCGGTTGTGGTGTGCCGAAACCAATGTTCTGGGAGGCTTATAAATAAAGAACGCCAACCATGGATAATGTTTAAGAAAGGGAGTGGTGTGTGGGATGAATCGAGCAGAAATGGCCAGAGGAGGCTCTGTAACTCCTCCCACAGCTCAATGCTACCGCCTTCAAATTTGGGGTTGGGAACAAAGGCAGAGAAAGAGTGCAAAGTAGGTTGTGTTGTGCCCAAACCAACGTTTGAATAGGCCTGTAAATAAAGAGGGCAAAAAGGTTTAAAAAGAAGGTTACTCACCAATGATGTAATAGAGATGTGCTTGTTTGTGATTCCTCTCTCTTAGCCCGTGGGAATTAGAATAAAGATGAAAAATTGATATTATTAGTACAGTGGTTCCGGACCACCTGAAAACATACCAGAGACCATAGGTTGGGAAACACTGCTGTATTGAAAAGGAAGGTAAAAGGAACCCATTCAGCTAGCCCAGCCATGCAGAGTCTCACTTATTGGCTGAGAGCATGAACTGAACACTCTTGGCCAATGAGTGAGGCCCTGTGCAGCGGGTTTAGCTGAGTGGTACTAACCAGAAGCTTCCTGCACAAGCTTTCAGCAGCAGGGGAGGTGGTGCATGCCTGACAGAACCCAGCTACACAGTGTGTGCATAACAATCATTGCACCGCCTCTGAATATGAGTATATATGGGATGGGATACTAGTAAAAGTAAGAGGATTATAGAATATGTGGGGAAAATTATACATATTCAGAAATGGAATTTAATTTATAATACTGTTTTCTTATGTGAAACTTTATTTCATTATTCAGTAAATTGTTTTTAACATTTTTCCTGTTCAACAAAACTATGTTTCATGTTTCTATCAAGCAATGTGCTGTGTATGCATACAGAAATGAAAAACACATTTAAACATTACATCTGATAATCATTTTTGGCCAATCATTTGGCAGTGAAAGGGCTAAAACGGAAGTTGTAAACGCACACAAAATGCTTACCTTGCATCATAAATATTTAACAATTACAAAAGGAAGAAGTGTTGAAATTTAAAATACAGAAAATATCACCAATGCATGAGAAATAATACAAATGTAAAACTGACCTTATTTTGCAGGAAGTGAATGTTTATGATTCGTAACTAATGTTACAGTTGAAATTTTTCCCCCCTAAATTAGTACTTTTTAAAAGATAACAGAAAGAATGTGAACAAAATACTGGATTTCATCACAGGAAACTCTCACAGCCCTGGATGAGAGACCCCTCCTTGCTAGTGGTATCTCAGCACATTCAGTCTTTGTAAACAAGCCCATTCCAGATCAGAGAAGACAGGCAAGGCAGCAGATTCAGCTGAATTGTTCTCCTCACTTGAAACCGACAGAAAGTAAGAAATGTATAGAATTGCAACATCGCTGGTAAAACTAAGGATTGGGTTGTATTACAGTATTATCTCAAACAGCATTTGTCAATGCCTTTAAAGGACCACTTAAAGGACTTCAGCTTAATGAAGTGGTCTGGGTGCCAGGTCCAGCTAGGGTTAACCCTTTTTTTGTTTTTTATAAACATAGCAGTTTCAGAGAAACTGCTATGTTTATAAATGGATTAATCCAGCCTCCAGTGGCTGTCTCTTGACAGCCGCTAGAGGCGCTTGCGTGCTTCTCACTGTGAAAATAACAGTGAGAAGACGCCAGCGTCCATAGGAAAGCATTGTGAATGATTTCCTATGGACTGGCTGAATGCGCGCGCTGCTCCTGACGCGCATGCGCATTCAGCCGAAGAGGAGGAGAAGAGGGAGGAGAGGAGGAGGAGAGCTCCCCGCCCGGCGCTGGGAAAAGAGGTAAGTTTAACCCCTTCCTCTCCCCAGAGCCCGGCGGGAGGAGGTCCCTGAGGGTGGGGGCACCCTCAGGGCACTATAGTGCCAGGAAGACGAGTATGTTTTCCTGGCACTATAGTGGTCCTTTAATATTTTTTTATTTATTACTGGCATTTATAAAGCATGTAGAGTCACGATCCATTTGTGTGATACAGAAAAACTGTGTAAGTTCTACATTAATTTGCAGAAATTTTAAAGGAACTCTGTAGTGTCAGGATTACAAACGGGGATTTCTGACACTATAGTGACACTATAGTGTTAAACTAATAATTTAGGTCCCCGACCCCTTAGATTTCAGTGAAAAGATTATTTTACTCACCTTTTCTCCCACGCAGTGCCAGTCTGACCACACCTCCATGATCTTAACCAATCCAATAGGAAAGCATTGGGAGGTATTGTACGCCGCGCCAATCAGCATCTCCTCATAGAGATGCATTGAATCAATGCATCCCTGAATTAATGCATCTCTATGGGGGAGTGTTCAGTGTCTCCATGCACA